CTAGTACCATGACCCCTTCTAAACCCAGCCTGGACTTCTGGCAGTTCTCTGCTGATGTGCTGTTCCAGTCGTTTTTGGATAATCTTCAGTAAAATCTAGGAACAGGATTTACCCTCATGACATGAAGACAAAATTGACAAACCCAGGTCACTGAATAGACTCCCTTCAATATCATTAACAGTGGATACAAACTAACCCTAGACGAAAGATACTTCTACATATGCTTAACTACTTCAAAAGGATCCTTTAAGAATCAAACTGAGTACTAGTAACTTAAGTATGTCCCTAAAAAAGGTCTAAATAATTTCAAGGATTCAAGAAATCCAGGACCCAAAACATGAATAAAGCATCCAATAAAAACCAGTCAAGCCTATAAGAATGCAGAAAAACATTAACCTCTGACCAAAACCAAAAATTAATCAGTAGAAAGATACAAGTAACAATGACAACAAAATTAGCAGACAACACTATTAAAATGGCTACTATTTGTATACTCAAAAAGGTCAACAAAATTCTAATTGTAAGAAAAACAAAAACAGAAGACTAAAAAAGACCTAACAAGGCTTTCTAGAGAGAAAGAGAACACTGGAATTCAAATTACACTAAATGTGATAATAGTTTTAAAAACACAACAACAAAACCAAACTATTTTAAGAAAAGCTTTAAAGTAAAGCACTTCCTAAAAAAAAAAAAAAAAAAATCAAACAAGATAGAAGGTATTACATTCCCTGATTTCAAATCCTACTACTCAACTGTGGTGGTTAAAACAGGGTGGTACAGGTACAGTGACAGACATATAGATCAATGGAACAGAAATGAGAATTCAGAAATCAGCTAATCTACCTATGGTCAACTGATTTTTTGACAAGAAGACAAAATCAGTTAAGTGAGGAAACAATAACCTTTTAAACAAATGCTGTCGGTAAAACTGGAAAACCATTTGGAGAAAACTCAAGCAAGAGTCACACCTCACACGGTACACAAAAACCAACTCAAGGTGGGTCAAGGACCTAGGTGTAAAATAAAAAATAAACTTCATCACAGAAAAGCTTGGTAGAACTTGAGATGCCCTAATTCACAGCATGACAGTCTGCCAAGTATAATGAAATACCTACAACCAAGAGAATAAAAGAAATGAATTGGACTAAGAATAAAATCTCTAAGCACATAAAAAAACTTCAACAGAGTAAAAAGAAAAGCTACAGACTGGAAAATAATATTTGGTAATGACATGTCTGATAAGGAATTCATATATAAATTTTATAGAATACTCAAGCACCTCAACAAGAAAAAGTTAGAAACAACCCAATCACAAAAGGGTATGAACAGACACTTCACCAAAGACAACATTCAGATGGAAAATAAAAACATGATGAAATGTTCAAAATTCCTAGCTATCAGAGATGGAAATAAAAAAACTATATGGATAGATTAGGTATACTGAATTGAAACGGATGAGGGAGAGAACAGTGATATATGATAGCATATTATGATTATCACAGGAATCCAGAATTAAGGTTGCACAGCAGAGTGCATTGAGGTGGGGGTGGGGGAATCGAGGTCAGGGTCAGGGTTGGAGGACTGCATACCAATGAAGAAGTTTATCTTTTGCTTTTCAGAGAGAGGAGCGAACTGGGGGGAGAGGGGTAAAGAAAAAAGTGCAACAATGAATGAATGAAAATCGAAAATCTCTGTAAATGTTAATTAAAATTAATAAAATAAAATTTAAAACAAAACAAAAAACTCTTATCATCTCACCCCAGCAACAACAACAAAGTTCAACAGAGCAGCGAACAGCAAATGCTGAGGAGGTTGTGTAGAGAGTGAAACCCTTATTCACTGCTGGTGGAAGTATAAAACGGTGTAACCACCATGGAAGGCAGTATAGCACTTTCTCAAAAAATTGGAAATACCATTTGACCCAGCAATTGCACTAACTGGGAATATACCCTAAAGAAACCAGAACTGCTATTCAAACAGAATATGCACACTCACACTTATTACTGTGTCATTCACAATAGCAAAGGGATGGAAGCAATCCAAATGCTCACCAACAAATGAATGGCTATAAAAACTACGGCATATTCACACATTGGAATACTACACAGCAATGACAATCAATGAACGTGTAAAGCAATATACAACATGGGTGACCCTGAAGAACATTATGCTGAGTGAAATATCTCAGTCACAAAAGAACAAAAACTGCACAGCACCACTGTTATAAAGCAAGACTGACACAGGGGGTTGAGAGGAGAATATGAAGAGTGTATAATGAACATTATTGTTACAGATGAAGGGAAGATCTGTTTAAAAGGAATATATGATTATATATTAATATGTAAGACAAGAGTCTAGAATAAGAGGTGCATTGCAAAGAGGGAGGGGGAGGGGGAGGGAGGGAGGAAATTACACAACAATGAATGAATATTTTTAAAAGTGAACTGGAGTAGGGGAAGGGAGGAAAATGTGCAACAATGAATGAATGAAAATCCAACTTTTCTATAAACTTTCATTAAAATTACAATTAAAATAAAAAA